TTGTCCATGTGTTGAGAATTTGCCAAGAACTTTTGCAACTACGCTTCATCTCGTGCTGGCGCTCGTCTTCACACAGCATCTTGAGCAAGTTTTTCCAACAATGAGTGCTGGATTTTACGCTCTTATTCTTATTACTTTTACTTGTGCTTGTACTTCTTTTGCTTCATCTTTGGGCGGCTGTCGCGTCTGCTCTCTTATCATAGACGTCGCATTCTTCGAAGCGTGTTACATTGCGTAAAACTTCTGCCTCACTATCTGGCAGGCGGCTTACTTATGCAAAATGTTGGCCAGCAGCGGCGGCCATAAAGTTTACCCAAACATCTGCGGCAACTACAGTTAAACTTCTATATAATGAATTCCGATTGCAAAACCAAAATTTTCACACAAATGCGATTAACGAACTTTTTACGCAAAACTTTTTTTGCTGTTAAGAAAAAAGGGAGAAATTCTTAGAAATTGAATTTCTTTGGCTTTTATAGAGTTGCTTTTAACGAAGTTTTACTGTAGCTTAGTAGGGGAATGTTTGGTGCTTAATGGCTTAATTACTAGAAGTTTTACTGTTGTATGGAATTGCATAGTTAGCAGTGTCCCGAGTATTTACTAGTCGTGCACTGCCGATTGAAGTACTCTTACTTGATAACAATTCTCTTCAGCTTCCCTTGTTCCTTTGTCCTCCATTCAGTTACCACTTAAGACTGCCAGCATCGGCAACTTTTTAATTTCTTATGATTTATAGCATTCCAATATATTTTTTAACTTATTTTCATGCTGCCTTTTTATCAAGATTTGCTTAACTAATTGTCTTTCTCTCTCTCTGTTTCTTTTCAGGTAAGTCCTGAAATACGTCTGCAGAAGCAAATGGAAAACACTCACAGCTCTGAGAAAAGCACTCAATGAATCATCAACGTGCAACGTCTCAGACTCATAAAGCCGCTCAACGGCTATAAAATCCATTAACGCAACAACAGCCAACAGCAGCAGCTGCTGCCGTTGCTGCTGCTGTCTTTTTGTCGCCTTGTCGTATGCCAGGCGTTGCATACTTTCTTCAGCTTCTGCTACTGCCATTTGGCCTGCAGCTTTTAATGCTGTTTACCAACATTTTTTGGCCAGCGACAGGCTCAGTGGCACCGCCCTCCCGCCCTCTGTTGCTCGGCTAACGTGTCGTATGTGTGATGTTGCCTTGCAGTCGAACGCTGACTCTTTCGCTGCGGGCAATCAATGCCAAAAGTGGCTGCTGGACACACAGAATAACTACAAGGCACGTACTTGGGCTCAGGCATGGACTCTGCGCAGAGCATACGTTGGCTTGGTGTTTGTGTGGGCGCGACTAGTCGGGGCGTGGCATTTGAAAATGGAATGCAAGGCTTACTCGTGCTTTCTTCTTGGTTTTCGTGTGTTCTTCAATTTTGAGGCGGCTTTAGTTAGGTTTACCAGGCGAGTAAATCGATGTAATACCATGCAGCAGGTACACTGAGCGAAAAAAAGCTTTCAAATGGTAAATGGAAGGGTTGGCGAAGAAATAGAAAGGCTGAAGAATGAAGTATTTGCAGAGTGTATGAAGTGTATCGAAAGACTTTAACACTCAGATATGAACTATTGGTAGTATTAGTCAGCATTGTCAGCCTAAATGATATATATGAATTATTTATATACTTTTGTCTGGAATAGGGGTGAGGTTATCGATAGTATCAATATATATATAAAAGATATATACTCAAAAAATATTTATTTCGAGTTTTTTATAGACTGTATAATTTATAATTTATTTATGTCTTCAAGTTGGGTTGGTCTATATCTTTTAGATAGAGCTTAAATTGATAGACTTTCGCTTATATTAAGAGTGTCTCTCTAGATTCTGTTATATCGATACAGATTTATTACTTATCGATTATACTGTTTATATAAATCAATGAGAAGAAAAGTTGTAAGATTTCTGATGCTAAGTTTCTTAGCTAAATTGTATGTTTGATAAAACAAAAATATCTATTGCAGTTCTCTTTGAAGAAAAATTGCCTATTAAAATCTGTATAAATTGATTGATCGATAAATCAAAGAAGTTGCGCATTTATCGAATTTATTGTCAAACATAAAAATTATTAGATAAAATCTATTTATCTCGCCCTAGCCTTATCCAATATGCCTGTCTGTGCACATTCCATTGCCACAGTTTTCACTCGATAAAATGACTGACTCATATCAGCTGTTTTCGCCGCCCAAGCAATTAGGCTGCCCAGACGAATGTCGCCAGCGACTTTTTCTAACAGCAACAACAGCAGCAACGGCAACTGCCTTTTGGCAGCAAAAACACTGTGCTACACGACACGAATTAAAAGCTACACATGCATACACAGACCATAACTGTATTTGTGTCCTGACTAACATTTGTTGCCTTTCTACAATTTCTACAATTTTTTTTTTTGTATTTTACTGTCGCTCGCCTTTGGGCCACATCAGAGCTGCTCTTGCGGCCAGTCAGACATTCAGTTAGTTCAGTTCGTTAGCGAATTTCTAAGCGTCAACAGCGTCGCGAACATCAAAAAGAAAGAAAATAAAAATCGAATTGTAAATTGTGTAACAAGTTCCAGACATACCAAAATTTAGCTAGCGGGAATAGCCCTAATCAATATGGTTGCCATCAATACAAACTGTGAGTAGAACAAAGAATTCGAATTTCAATATATGTATATGTATAGAAGCCCACACTTACGAGTTAAGTGGGCGACATTTTGTCACTTTGCAGCAGGATAGCCTGCTGTTTGCTCTATGTTGGCAACTCTGGCCGGACCAAAATGGTTTTTAATTCAATTTGTTTGCGAGTTGAAAGTCCCGCAAATTATTTGATAATTGACAATGCATATGCGTAGGTAGCAGGGCGGCAGTGACACGCCCCTGTAGCTGCTGGCACGCCTCCCACTCAGGAAGGCATCTGAGCACAGTGGCACAAAATAATTAAATTAAATGCAAATTAAAATGCTTTTATGAATATTAAGCAGACACTTGGGAATCTTTTCACGCATATACACATACAGATATGTATCTATATATATGTATGTGCATATATTTGCTTCTGTCTTATCCTTCGCTTCTGCTGGCTTTAGCAACTTTTCGCTAAGGAATAATTATTGCAATATGCACAAGATTTTTTTGCTGACAACGAAAACATTTTTATATATTTTTTCATTTTTATTTTTAATTTACTTTATGTAAAAATTCATTTTGGCTGCAGCACTTAAAAAGTAATGTAAATATATAATATTTGCGTTTAGTAAGCTTTTATATAGTTTTTTTTTTTTAATTAAATTGATATTTATTTAAAAAGTTTTTCTTGTATTTTTACATTTTGCTTAATGGTTTCATAACTTTTGGCCAGATTTATGTTGCTTTTAAGCTAATTGCCTTTGTCTTGCATAGGGCTGTGTAATTGTGCGAGAAAAAGGGCATAGATATAACAATGAAAATACCCTGTAATATTAGCTAAAAGTGAAAGGCAATGAAAATTGAATTTTTAGTAAAATATTTTCTTATAGAAGAGTATTTTATAGGAATTTAATTATATTTATAGGAAAAAGCTTCCATCAACTCCCTTTGCCTGGTTAAAGGGCGCTGATCCCTTAGCCTCAACCAAGCCATTTGAGCCTTTCATTTTCCCGGCTCATCTCCTCTCTACACTTCTCTTTGGGTTTGTTGTAATTGAGTATCTCTGAATATGGCTTAATTTGTGTATATATGCTGTATCCCTTTATTCTTGGCTAAGGGTAAGAGAGTATGCTCTTTGGAGCAACCCCAGCCCACATAAGCCATTTGCCTGAAGTCTGACAAATTGCTTTGGCTGTCATAAGCTGATTTTTCTTTTGGTAAAATGTTGACGCTTGAGGTCAGATGTGTATGTAAATATATGTGTGTAAGTGTAGGAGCAGAGTATGTGTGTATAATTAAGGTAAATCATGTCATAAACACTGCCAAATGATTTCAATTAAAATCATTTTGAAAATTTATGGAAAAATTTCTAAGCTGCATTTAACACAAATTGTTGTTTGTTTGTTTGCCGTTGCTGTTGCTGTTGTTGCTGTGGTACTTCTTCTTTTACCTACACAGTATTTTTAATTAAAAGCGTGAAATGTCAACAGCTCTTTTTTAACACTCACACATGTGTATAAATACATGTACGTGTATGGGAAATGCAAGTTAGCAAAACTCTCGAGAGAAAAAGGCGAAATTATTTTCATTGAGGTCAACCTGCTGCCTCAATGTGGAGAGCTGCATTTTACGCTGCTTTAAATTTCTATAATGATGCTTATTATGTTAATGAGAGTTTTTAGCTTTTTTTAGCTTGTTTTCCATTTTCATTTGCCCCCAAAGGCCAACTCTGCTGGCACACAACCGCATGACTGGCGATCCACACGCTGTTACACAAAAGTCCCTGAGGTCACAGATATTAAATCCACACAAAACTTTTTTTTGCCTTATTAAAAATTATTTTATTACGTGTGAAAAATAAGTTTTTATTGGTTTTTATTGCAAAGCCAAATGTGAAAGTGTGCAGGTGCTAATAAAGGTAAGAGCAGAAAGGAAACTTCTATAATTTTGGCAAAATTCCAAAACGATTTTTAAGCAAGGCGAGCCAAATCTTAAACAAATTATCTGATATATGTCTATAACTATATTTATATATATCTATATCTATATAAATATCTATCTCTATATCTATATCTATATCTACAACATATTGAGCCTTCACTTCTTTATATATATATTATATTTATATAATCTAATCCTAGAGAGCAGAATAAGTTTGCATAGGAAATGCTTACTCATATTTCAGCTGTTTGATCAATCGTTATTTTCGACCAAGTTATTCTTCGTACAGTTTGCATGTCCTTAATTAAGTTTCGCTGAGTAGGCTCCGCTTCAAAAATAATTTCGTAATAAAAAAAACAGAGATTGAGATTAGTTTCAAGTTTTTCATTGACTCGGGATCACTTCGCAAAAAAAATTAAAGAAAAGAAAAAAATTTTAAAATTAAAATCAAATAATATTGTGATTCGTTCACGCACACACACAAAAGAGAGAAACGAACCAAGTTGGCAGCGCTGCAAAAGGCGATTTGTGGTGCCTGTGGAACGTAACGTGACGTATGTGTGGAACGTAACGAGCGCTAATCGTTTTTTTTTCATTTACTTATTTGCGAGCTGCGAGTAAAATTGTCGAAGTGAAAAGTTGGGAGGAGTTAAAAAAAAAGGGAAAAAAAGAAGCGAAAACTCAATTTTCAATTAATATCAAATTAAAGTAAAAAAGCAAAAGTAAGTTTAAAGAATACGACAATAATCAATGGAGAAGCTAAGCACAAGATCTCCGAGCGATGAGACATTTATTTATGCAATTGGAATGAATGTATACAAACATGTAAATATATTTATATATATATATTTTTATGTATATATAAATGTCTACATCTGATATACGACTTCAATTCGTGCTGCTAGCGCCCAGCTTCGCATAGAAACCTAATCGAAATGTTTACCTTTAAGCCATGGCTCCATCGTCCGCTCATCCGCCGGATCGTCACTTTGGCTATGTCTGCTGCAAGTGTCAGGCAGCTGCCTTTGCCGGACGTCGCTATGCCTGCTGGATGTGCATTGGCTATCAGCTCTGTGGCAGCTGCTACGACTCTGGCCAGCTGCCCGAGTCGCCAGAGCACAAGTACTTCCATCCCATGGAAGCGCATTACACACGCGCCGAATTCGAGCTCTACTTTGGCGGCGAGGCGTACGTGGAGGCGAATGTGCCGCAGAGCTATAAGTGCGCTCTCTGCAATCTGTGTGGGTTCACGAGCATGCAGCTGTACAAGCACCTGTCTGACGTGCATCGCGGCCATAAGGATTTTGATGAGTATTTTAGCATACTTTATACGCGCTATACGGCCGATGCTACGGCTGCCACGGGACGTTTGACAGCTAATGGCGGTGGTTCGGCTAACGGTTCGGCGTCAGGTTCGGTGTCTGGTTCTGGGTCTGGTTCTGGCTCAATTACACGTTCAGCCGTTGCCTCGGCATCGGCTTTCCTGCGGCACGTGCCCACCATGCAACGGCCCGTGCTGCCTGTCGTCTCGCAGCGCAATGTCATCGACACCACGGTCAGCTTTCGCGAGGCGGTGCGCATGACTCAGGCCAGACGCGCTGCTGTCTTGGAGCAGCAGGCGCTCAATGTGCTCGAAGAGTTGCGCTTCAGCAATGCCAATCCCAGATATTATACGACCAATCATTGCCTGAGTGTTGCCGTTCGATCGCATCAGGACCAGGGGCAGCAGCAGCAGCAGCAACAGCAGCAGCCGCCGCCGCCGCCTCCTGGCTCAGCACGTTCGGATGGGGGCGTTATGGATGCTCGAACTATGCGTAATCCGAAAGTAAGTCGTCTGCGCAACATACCGCCAGCCATGCGCTTGGGCACGCTGTTTCCCAAGCCAAACAACCAATTGCCCAGGCGCACGGCTGAGGACGATTGGGTCTCGTATTGGGCGCACTCATCGACTCTGATGGAACAGCAGCAGCAGCAGCAGCATCGAGCTGAAAGACTATTGACCAGCTACGCGGACATATTGCGCGAGACGCCTGGAGCCGGTGGCGCAGGAGAAGCGCGAGACAAGAACAGGGACAAAGACAAGAATAAGAACAAGGATAAGAACAAGGACAAAGCGAACAGCAATGAGAAGACCGATTTGAACAAATTTCTCTGCGTTCAATTTCTAGGATTAGAGAAATCGCAGCGAAAGCAGCAGCCGCATCAGCAGCAGAGTCCACCGCCGGAAACCTATCGCGGCCACTTTACCGAAGCTCTACTGTGCTCCATGCTAGCCGACGAGCAGCTGAAACCAGTCACAATGCCAGCGACAGCTCCCATTGTGAGCAAGACAACAGCTGCCACGGGCAAGACCACAAAGGAGACTTTGGAGGATGCTTGCAACAGTTTCGCCTCGCCAGCTGGCATCATGGATCGCTTCTATAAGAACCTCGATCTGTACAACAAGTGGTTGGCGGATTTCTCCATTAAAAAGTTGGAGCAGAACTCGAAGATCGCAGCCGTGCCGGATATGATCTTGCAGGCAACGCACGATCCTGTTGTCAGCATCGACTCGGACATGGATGCCGACACCGATGAGCGGGATGAAGAGGACGATGTGGCGAGCATTGTGGACCAGGCGCCCAAGACGAGTGTCGAGAGCAAAGTTGTCACTGTCAATATTATCGACGAGCTAAACGAACGTGAGGTCGAGGACGATGAAGTTGGCGAGGTGGAAGACGGCGATGGCGAAGGCGATGCAGAAGGAGAAGGCGATGCCGAGGATGTCGAGGACGAGGACGAAGACGATTACGATGACAATTCAGACTCCGAGACATCGGATTCAACTATAGCCATGCTGGTCAATGAAATCGACCAGGTCTACGGTTACTAGAGCGCGCATGCGAATAGAGGAAAAGGGAGGCGAACGAATATAGAGAAATAACTACGTATGCGAGGGATATATAATTGAAACATACAATGAAGAGTTAACTTATGTCAAAAATATACTGACTTTCTGCATTGAATAAAGCTGTTGGCCAAGATATGTTTGTCTGGTTTGTGCGGGCTTAAACCGAAGGAACAGTTCCGGTTCTAGTTTAGGCAGTTGCGATTGAGAGGTCTTGAGAAGGTGACAAATTAGATATTCAAATCTATCGTAATTATTGAACTTGTTCCCAAATAGTTTCAAACTGAGAATTTCTTGCTCCGAATCTATTTCAATCTCTAGAGCTGTTCCTAGTTTCTATGTGATTCGAATGGTTACATAAATATAGTAATATATCCACTTATTCATTTAATAATTGTAGTATTCGTTGCATACATCTATGAACTAGTTCAATTTCTGGTTTTTGTTGCAGCTCGAAATTCTGCACAAATCACAAATTTTAATATCGTCTTATCATGCTTGCTCTGTAGGAACTAGTTCCCTTATGATTGCAAGCTGACATTTTGCCTAAGAACAAATTTGTAATGAAATTTGATGTTGGGGGATTTGTTCATGGTGCAAACTAGTTCCAAAATGATTTTTATTTTTGTCTTTGCTCTTTTCCCAATAGGAATTTTTTTCATAAATGAATCATATGCTTACAAATTGTAGTTCTTTCGAACTAGTAACATGCAACTATTCGTATTAAAAAGTAACTCGAAATTCTGCAGACAATCACAACGGATTTGCTGTACTGTATGACAGATACTTTGCTAGCAATGAACTAGTTCAAAAGTACTTCAAAGCTGTAGATGTTGCTGAAATGGTTCAAGTGCCTAACAGTATTTACTTGTTATTTCTGCTCATATGAATTGTTTTTCCTTTAGTAATGTGTGCCAATAATTGTCAAAAGTTCCAGTTCTTTTGAACTAGTTTCAAAGCTGCAACTGCAATAATTATTTCAACTTAGTTATGTCGGTCTATTAGATTATATGTTTAATATTGTGATTTCCATGAACTAGTTCCACTATGATTCAGTGATAGAGTTAGGTTTTAGCTCTTTAAATTTGTGAAAACCTTTTTCTGTTGCATTTCTCTGCATTTCTACTTCCTTTATAAATTCCAAAGTTGTTCATGAACACTTTGTCAAGTATTGTCTTGATCTCGTTCTTGCTTTTTCTCCATTTCATAAATCAAGTTGGCAGCGCTGTGACTGTGACTGTGACTGTGACTGTGAACGTTACGTTTGTTTTGCGGCTCAAGTCAAGTGCTCATTGTTCACATTGTTCGTACAGCTTGAAGAACATAAACGTAAAGTTAAAAAAAAATATTTTAATTATTAAAACTAAACAAAAAAACAAAGAGAAAAGTGTTAATTGATTGTCAAGGCAACGGTCATCGTTTTTTCTACTCTATTCTGTAATTTTGTACCATTTGATTTTGATATCGAAACTATTTAAACGTCGCGATGTCTCTGAGCGATGCCACAAAGATGCAAATGATGAAATGCTTAAGCTGCGCCGCTGAGGGCGACATGGGCAGGCGCTACGAGTGCATCGTGTGCGGCGAGTCCGTGACCTATTGCGGCGAGTGCTATGACGGGGGCAAGAACGTTCCTAGCGATAAGCACAAATACTATCATCCCATGAAAGCTATCTATAATCGTGAATTCTTCGAGCTCTATTTCCTGGGCGAGGAGCTGGTCAACGGCGAGGCGCCACAGAGCTATAAATGCGCCTTTTGCGACGAGCTGGGCTTTACGGCCGAGGAGCTGCAGCTGCATGTTCTCGAGAAGCATAGCGGACACTCCGATGCGCCCAAGCTATTGGATATATTGGAGCAAATGAGTGAGGAGAAGAAAGGTGAGTTGCAGCACTAGGTTCAGCGGCAGCTCCGGCTCCAGCTCCAGCTCCAGCTCCCTCGCTCTTAGCCTGATTGCTGCCCTTTGTAAGTGTGCGAAAGTGGGGCCTAATGGAGCGCGCTGCAAAAGCCACTTTAGCAAATTGCTTGGGCCGCACAGCTGACCAAATGGTCAATGGCTTGCTGTTGCTCTAGCGAGGGGTACAACGATTTATACACAGCTTAAAGCCCACTTTGCTAGTAGAACGAAGAGTTAACGCTGTGTAGGGCTGTTGGCCATCTATGAAGAGGCTTTATTTGCTTAGCAACAAATTTTATTTGTATTAGAAACGAAGTTCCTAATATATTGCTTAAATATAAATCATATAAAATAAATATATATATATGCATTTAACCTGTCGACAGTCTATATGCATATGTAAATATATATAAATGCGAAAAATATAATAGCACCACGAGAACAAATATTTAAAAATTTCTAGAAATTTTAATATAAATAACTTTCTTTTCCCCGTATACTTCATGCTACTCTTCTCATTTGTCCAGCCAGGTGCTATTTTATTTTTCGCAGCTGCATATACGTCTGTTTAATGCTTTTGCAATATATTATATAGACGCCATAGCACATGGCACATCTGTATACTACAGCTTCTATGGAACTATGTTTCTCAAATGAATTTTCTTTGGTAACAAATTCATCAAATATAGCAGGTGAACAAAGAACTTGATATGCCATGAGATTTCAGGCAAATTCTAAAATATCTTTTACTACCTTCAAATAAAGCTTCTATAGAAAATTCTTAAGAAAGTGTATACGAATATATGTATCTGACGCGAGTTTACTATATTGTTCGTATTACTATCGTATCATATATATAGTTATTTATAATTGATTCTATAGAAAAAGAACTTCCGCTTAAAGAATTTTTATATACATATATATATTTATATTTTTTTTTTATGTATATATATATTTCACTAGATTATAAAGAGGGAAATATATGTAGTAGATATAGGAATTGCTCTACCTATACTTCATAGTATATATCAACCATATATCAATCATATATCCTTCAAAACGCTTTCGCAGTGTATCAATTATTCGTCTATTCTCGAATCACATTTTCTGTCCTGTTTTGCTCATATTAAACGTTTCTCACATTTGCAAGTCAAATGCAAATCACTTCAGCAACTTGAACTATGAAAGCTTCACAGCCATCCATTTGCCCACCTGCCACACACACCTTTGACCTCTTTTTTGCTCTTGATATAAACTGAAATCGTAATCGAAATCGAAATGGAAACTGAAACCGAGACCGAAACTGAAACCTGTTGTGATTGACACTTGCTCTCCAATAATGGCAAATTATGTGGACACATGAGACAATTTGTGCAACATCTACAGCTACATCGGCTTGGGCAGTCGCCCCCAATACCTTTCCCAAAGTCTTCCGTTGACTCCCCTTGCTTGCTTTTGATAACAAATTTTCCAGTTCATTTGATGCGAGTTCAATTTTGCTTATTTGTTTGTGGTTTGTTTCTTCTTTCATTTTAATACTCGTTCACGAATGTGGTAGAGGGGTATATGGGCTGAATATATATTCTTATATTATTCCATATGCGTCAGGGCAAGTTGGAAATTATCTTGAAAACTCGCACGACAATGCTTCACATAGTTATCGCGGGTTCAGAGAGCAGACCTAGCATAGCAGATAAATATCATAGTATACTTTTCAGCGTGGTTGACTAAAACATATTTTCTGGAATGTAATTTAAGCCAATTTAGGTTTATTTTAAGGGAGGGCTAAAGCATAGTTCAATAAAAAAAGTTCTTGGGCAATAGAAATCACGAGTAATGGAGAACTTGAGTTGATGACCCGAGGTGTATTTATTTGTATATAAACAACTTATCAAGTGGCTTACTGTTTACCTTTTTTACGTATAAAAAAACACGTAAGACTGGCAAGTAGGGAAATATATCTGCTGCAGTTAAGCCCTGAATCTACTGATTTGTTCTTCCTCTCTCCCTTTATTAATTGAGCAAATGATCAGTTTTTAAAGTGTCTTCTGTGAATGATAAATGACCATTAACGAGTATTAGACAGTTGATAGTACTGCAAAGTTGGGTTGTTTTCTCTACTCACTCTCTCTTTCTCACTCTCTCGAATTGTAGTTCGTATTTATGCTTAGTTTAGCAATTTTTTGGCGTATCGCTTTGTCTACTTTTGGAGTTTATGCATATTAACTGTGGGATTGTAGATTAGCTATCGAATGTTTGTGTATATATATGGAAAAGTTAGCTTATCGAATCCGAAATTTAAGCCAAAGCAGCTTAAGATTTCATAAACTGCTTTTTGATCAAGTCTTTTAATATACATGCATATTTTGTAGAACAGCTTTAAACATATATATATATTTATATTATATATTGTTCAAAGCTGTTCTGTAAAACATTCTCTCAAAATATATTTCGTATACATTTCAGTAAATTTTATATGGAATTTATTATCAATTATACCTATATATATTTATATATATATATACTTGTTTCTTCTGTAATTTGAGCAGTGAGATTTTCCGGAATTTTTGTAGCATTTGCCGTTTAATGCACAGCTGTGAAATGCTTTTTCCGCTGCGTTTATTATCATAATTGTGCGTCAGAATGTTTTTCATTCGCTGACGCTGTTGACTTTGTGCTTCTGCTGTATATATATATATATTTGCATGATAAATGGTGAATGCAACAGCGGATCGCGTTGCACATTAATCAAAGTTGCGCTTGAAACAAACGCTGCAACTAAAAGCCGCAACAGCTGCGGGCACAAGGCCAAAAGATGCTGGCAGAAGTTAATGTATTGCAAAATTTCGACCAGAAGCTTTTATTATTTTTAAGCCTCTTTCAGCTGCAGCTCTAGAGTAATGCGAAACTGAATGCTAAAAGATATATATATATATATATATATATAATGTCGATATATGTGCTTTAGGTTCGTTCGAGCAGAAAGCAGCTAGACGAGCTGGTAGTGTCCTCACAAGGCATATTAAATCAGGCTTATAGAAATTCTTTTAGCTATATTGATTGTTTTAATAAGAAGCTGCTTAACTGTATATTTTCTTTAGTATATTTACTATTTATAAGACTGTATAAACACAGCTGCACCTAATGTACTCTAGCAATTGAACTCATTTTATTGCCTTTAATTCTAGTCGTGAACATAGTAATTGTGGCCTACTTCAAGTCGTTGGAGTTATCCTATCTTGATGTTCCTAGGGTTATTTTGACATTAACTATAATCATTGTGTGGGTGTGTTCCTATTTCGGTGTTTAGGAAATAGTGTGCTAATGACGATAAATAAATACAATTTATATAATATAAGATAACATAAAATAATATAACTAAACAAACCATATTCCTATATATTATAGGTGTATGACTACATGACTACATGTCTTAATTTGAGGCATTTCATTAAGCAATGTTTTACTTAATATTTGAAAACTCTATTCACATGTTTTACTTTATTAAGAACTGTTTTATAGCTCTTTTTGTCTACTTGATTATATGTTGCCCTCTAGCAGCGACATACGCAGAGTTCATGTTCCCACAATTTTCTGCATTCCAATCAATCGAGTTAAATTTTGGTAAAGCTGAATTCATGTTTTACATTTTATATTTACTAAGTAGAATTATATATATATTAATCTGAAAATGCCATAAAGCCTTGCATATATCGATTCATTCCAAGCCAAGTAAATATAATTAATTTAAGCAGTATTAAATGCTGTGCAGCAACCCCAAGCAAAAAGTTGCCAAAAAAAAAACTGACGTCATATTGAGTGCAGCCTAAGGGTGACTTTGGCTTAAGACAGTCAAATTACCCTGAAATATATATATATAGTATGTGATATTTATAGTATATGGAATTTATATATATAATGGCGATTGCGCCCCTTTTCCTCTTGCGAAATGCACAAATATTGAATTACTAACTAAAGTGTGTGGGGTTTGACTTCTTTTTGTGTTGCAGCCACTGAGATCCGCTGCCAGGAGAAGTCGCGTGGCGGCCTTAGCTATGAGGTCATCCTGGCCGAGCCGGCACCCAATGTGGCTGTGCCCAAGCGACCCGTGACTCCGGGCAAGAATGTCAGCGTCGAGGAAATTGAGCAGAAGCTAAAGGCAGCCGAGGAGCGTCGCATTGTGAGTAGAGCCTAAAAGCTATTAAAAAAAAAACCCAGATTCATAAATATTCTACTTTTTACAGTCCTTGGAGGCGCGCAAGATGGCTGAGATCTCTATCAAGCTGGCCAAGGTGGAGGAGGCTACGCGCAAAAAGGATGAAATCACCAACGAGTTCATCACTCAGACCAAGGAGCAGCTGGAGAACAAAATGGAGACTCACGTGGAGAAGCGCGAGGCCATTATCAGCGACATGAAGGAGAAACTAAAGGTGCCCGAAATATTTAATAAATATTCATAAATATTCTATACTAAAACTGACTGTGTGCCTATAGATTCATGCTCAGGAGATTGAGAAAACGCGCGAGACTTTGGAGCAGCAAAAGGCCAATGAGCAAAAGGCCATCGAGGAGAAGTTGAAGACGGCTCAGGCTTTGCGTGATGAGAACATCAAGAAGATGTTGAATCGTCTCAAGGAGCATGTAAGTTGCGCTATCCTATATATAGATATGTGTATATTTGTCTGATTCTTAACCTATATTAGCTTAGCTTTGCCTGCTTTTCGTTCCTTAACCGTTTTGTGCATTGCCTAAATCGTCTAGTTTAGTTCGTAAATATTTTATAAATAAACACGAAATAAATATTTCTTATTATTAATATTTGCATATGCAAAATTAAATATTAAAAAAATAAATAACAAATATTTAAAAAAAATTAATTTATGTTCTATTAAAATATCTTATATAATATAATATATTTAGAATTCCCATCAGATTTTGATGTATTTTGTTGTGATATTGCATTCTTAATATATATATTTTTTAATTTTAATGTACAGTAGCCATATACATACATATTAATTAACATTAAGAAATTCCTTACTTTTTATTAAAAAACACATTTCACTAACCAAATCCTAGCCTAGCTAAATTTTTGCAAATGAAATTAAATATTCAAACATAAAAATATCTAACCAGGTATATCTAATAGGTATGTGTGACGGCTACTGTGCATTACGATATTTTTTCCTTTTCGATTTTTTTGCTTACATTTTATTTATTCATATATTTTTGTTATTTGTATTCGTTTATGTATAGTTTTAACTAACGCTCTCTTCGTCTATCTAAAAAATAATTTAAATATGCTGTCTGTGCGTAGTGAAAATGTATTCGAGAACATTTTGCGTTTCATCCATCGATATTATTTGTGATATTTATTTTTCTTGATTTATTTTTGGAATCTCTTCTCTCTCTCATTTAAGAACACAATCAAAATTGCTGAAATCAAAACGCAGAACAATCAATTGGAAAATCAAAAGCTCGAGGAGAAAGCGCGCATTATCGAAAACAAATTATTCACCGCCGAGCAGAATCGCGAAAAGGAGTTGCTCAAAAAAATAGAGAAAGCTCAGAAACTTGTAGGTCTCCCAGAAAACCAAACACACACACACACATATATAATATATAAAATCTATATATACATTGACATATATGTATATATATATAATTGCTTTGATCCGTTTGTATTGTTTGCCTGCCGTTCATTTGTAGCAGTTGCACACACACTCATATACCCTGTAATTTGTTGGTATTTTTTAATTTATTTTGTCTCTCGCTTACAGGAACGTCGCGCTGAGGTAGTACGCCAGAATAAAGCTCAGACTCAGGATATGGATGGACAGCAGAGTCCCATTGCCTCGTCGGGTTAGGGCGGTGCGCGGGCAAAGGCTGCTTGTAAGGGAGTTGCTCTGGCTTAGCCTGGGGCAAACAAAAGAGAGAGCGCGTCCCCGACACACAATACACACACACAACATACACACACATTTGAAAAAGCAAACCGAAATTTGCTGCGATAAAAATTTCAAGTATTAAAAGAGAAAATAACATTTAAAAAATTACATTTTTCGCTGAGCAAAACGCAGCGCAGGCAACAAAGCAGAAGACGAAAACAAAGAACCACAATAACTACAACACACTCCAAACTTTACACTACACTACAAAAAAAAAAAAAAAAAAGAAAAAAGCAAATTTCAAGCTGCAGATAAATATAAAAATACATTTAATAAAGAAAATTTACAAGAACAAAAAACATAAGCAAAACAATTACAATAAGAACATAAACAAAATCATATACTTAAATTATTGTCAAAATACTAAACAAATGAAATTCATAATTGTTTAAATTTTAATTCATTTTTTAAAAATTGTTTTAAGTTTGATTTTTAGTTGATACAAATAAAAAAATGCAATTAAAACTAAATGCCATGCTTAAAGTGAATATATATATACATCAAATAAAAATATCAAGTGTATTTCCGAATAATTTGCAGAGCATTTTCTTAAAATTAAAAAAATTCAAACAATAGAAAATGCCATACGATTTTGCCTGTCGTTTTCTCATATGCTTTTGCTTGAAAAAATGAAAAAAAAATATATATACATATAATTTAATATTAATTCTAAATGATTAACAATTATGAGAGAGTTAAACAAAAATAAAAACAAAAATTCTAACCTTTTTTATTTTAATATAAGTTCGCATTTTCTATCTATATATAATGTCAAACAGAAAAATACATAAGAAATGCTTAAATATAAATAAAAACAAAAAAAATTAAAAATAAAAAAATACAAAGTAAAACAAAAAAACACAAACAACTTTTTCGTTTCATTTGACACAAGACACATTTTAGGCATTAAAAAACAACATAAATATATATAAAAAAAATATATATATAAATAAATCTATATAGTAACTAAAATATATATAAAAACAGAAGAAAAAATCAAATGCATATTTTGTCTAACGTCAAGTTATATTTAGAACAAAAACAAGAAGAAATGGTTTAAAATGAAATTTATTGGGTTGGGAAATTTTTTAAAGTTGGGAAATTTAAAATGTGGGAAATTTCGAATGTATTTGAATTATTTCTTGACAAACTTCACATTTATTTGCAAATAAAAAAATTAAAAATTAGCTTAAATTTAAATTCACATAATGTTATGTGTCTATAACTACTATAAATCAGCTTCAATAAACATACGAACAAACACAACACGACACGCACAGACCACACAATCTGACACTCTGGATACTCTACAACAATGCAAAGATCAATACAATTGATAAAAACGCTTCGATATATACTCAATTTATGATATATACTATATATATTTAAATATATATACATATATTAATGTATAATCAACACCAATAACCAACGAAAAAGTAAAAAGAAAACACAAACATCATTTTGTATGAGAGACAAATGCAGAAGGAAAACGTTTTCTCAATAAAATAAATAAATGTTCTCTTCTTAAAGCAGCCTATGCTACATATAAACAAAAATCACTTTTTTACGTTCCCGCATTACTTTTTAAAAATGAAGTTGACTTGATTAATTGAACGATAAGTGGATTCTAATAATGAATGTATAATAAAAGTGCGTAATTAAAATAAATTGAAATATTTATAATTGGTCAACGTTTGACTTTGATTTAATTTCAAATAGCCCGCGCCTTGTTAAGAGAGTTTATGCTTTGTTAACATTGCAGTTGCGCTGTTCTGTTAAGTGGCCATTCCTGTTTTATTTGGCGGAGTTTGCTAAATACTAAAGCAGAGTTGAGCAGTAACAACTGCTCAGTGCATATCGCAGGCTGAGTGATCACTGCAGGCTGAGTAAGCATGTTAAGTGTATGAGTGAACAGTGTAATTAGCAGTTCCTATTGAGTTAGCAGTCTTGATTGAGTAAGAAGCACTGTAATCGTAACTGTAAACAGCTCAGCAATTAGAAGAAAATAAACTGAAATAAGTTAACATATAATTATCATTTATTATTAACAACCGAGTATTTATCATAAATATGTTTTTATTTAATGGCCTCAGTGCTGTGCCCGCACCAGAGTAATAAAACCGCATTCTCATAGGATACCGAAGATTTGGCTTCCAATTGAGTTGAGTCCTGAGAGTCTGTGATAGTTGTGTTGTTGTGCACCTCCTGCTGTTGGTTGTTGTCTGCTATAAAATGATATTGGCCAGAGCTGCTGGCCAAGATGGGCAGACTGGGGTGAAAGCCAATGCCATTGCAGCAATCAGCATGCAAAGGCAGCTGCATCGCTTCGATTTCCTTGCCATCCGAGAGATTCCACAGATTGAGGCCACCTTCCGTATCGCCACTAGCTAGCCAGGGTTGCTGCGGGCACAGATCAAATTGGATGCGCTGATTGGTGTTGACTTGACGCTGGAATTCATGCAAAGGTTGTTTATAGTTGCGCATGTCCCATTGGAGCAGCTTCGGGCATTTGCGAGCTCCACTGAACAATTGCCAATTGCTTGAGGCATCTGTGCCGTAGCGCAATTGTGTGATGCCTGCCGTGTGCCCGCCCAGCGTAAAGAGTGGACCCTGTTTGGGGGGACAGCGTAGATCAAAGTGCTGTATATAACCCCGCCAATTGCCACAGGTCACTGTGTGCGGATGCTCCATATTTTGAGCCATGCAAGAAATGGCAAACTTTACAGGGTATTCATCATAGCTGCGACCTGGTCGACTAGTATCGAAGATCTTAATGCAACGCTTATAGCCGGCATAGATCTTCTCTCCATCATTAGCAAAGGCCAGCGATATGGCAGCCACCACTTCATCCACCTCATCGTAGCCGCTGTAGCTGCAACGCAAACGTCCATCAAAGGCGTCCCACATGTGTATTGGTTCGTGTTGACGTGTAGCCAGCCAGCTGGAAGAGAAGAGAGTGAACGATGAGTAAAGCTATATTTAAAGGGAGCAACATTGGTCCACATTGGAAATGAATTTTAAATATTCCCGCGCACTGTTATTAACAGAATTTAGACTACGTGAACATTGACTGTTAATAAGTGCAGTGGCTGTGAGCTATAAAAGAGCTAAGTTTATTCGCACTGTTAAAAGATCGGGTATATATTCATTTAAGTGATTGCAATGGTTGATGATGCACTGCTGCATCCGTATAAAGTCACTCTACTTACAAGCAGCTTTCTGGCTGTTGGCTGTTCATTAGGGGATACCAAACGCAATCGTAGACTGTGCCGCCCTCGGGCACATGAACAGCTGATTGCATTTTGGATAAGCTGCGCTCTGTGGAGATGCTGTTGGCGCTATATAGGTCCAATGGTAACTCCATAACATGCATGCCATCCAGATGTACGGGGACCAGCAGGCAAGTGCCATCCGGCGACCAATAGCAACCCTTTGTATAGTGCTGTGCCAACGCGGTGGATGGCCAACAACGGCGACCGAGTTCGATGAGCTGCCGCTCGAAGTAAACTGGGGGAGGAGCAACGGCCACATGCTGCAGCTGCTCCTCCATCTTCTCTAGCTGTACCTGTTCCATCTGTTCCATCTGCTGCAACTCGTCAATCTCCATTTGCTGATCCTCATTGATATCAGACTGCTGTAACTTCAGTACCTCTTGTTTCTGTTCCTCTTTTTTCTCCTCTTCGTCCTGCTCCTTCAGCTTCGTGTGGTCGTCTAATGTGTCTTCTATGCTTATCACATTCTCGCTCTCCTCGTCCTCTTCATCTTCTTCCATCCAGCTGCTCTGCTCCAACGATTTGCTGCAATTCTGTTGATTGCCTACATCTATAGTGCTGTTGGCAGTTGTTATGTGGCGCTTCTGCAGCTTCCTCCGTTCCGTTTCGGTCAGGGAGAAGCTCAGATCAGGAATGGACGCAGTGCTGAGTTCGCCGCAAGTTGGGGTCAATTCAATGCTGCTGTTAAAGCTAACATTGTGGTTGAGTAAGGATGCAGTCTGCTCCATATTTGATACCGTGCTGCCAGCTGTTATATATATATATATCTATATATATTAACACAGCGAATTATTAGTTTAATTTATATTTCTTACACGTTATGTCCATGGCGGCTACTTCAATTAGTTTATTGTATACAACTATCGATAGCATATCAAGTATCGCACTTGATGCTTTTTAGAGTGAACATGTTTCGCACTTATACATCCATGGCGGATATTTCAAATTTTAGCAGTGTTAATTGCAGTTAAATGCAATCCATTTTATATTAATTCAATGTATAGTAGATCTAGCTTTGTTCATAATGTTCCTTTTGTGTTTGATGACTCAAAGTCTCTGCCAATATTAAATCGATATTTTACACGCGATTTTAGAGTGCTGCCACTTTCTAAGGTGACCATATACTCGTTAATTTAATCAGCTGTGTGAGTGTGGAGTCAAATGCGTTATGAAAAGTGGTGAATATTGTATTTCAAATTAATGATTTTGCTTTTCAGAAGTATATACCCATATATCAACTATGTATTATGCATATTATAAATATTTTTAGTGTTGTCTTGTCCGGCTTGTGTGCACTATCAGATCACTTATCTGTCTCATTTTGAAGGTGAATTGGATATTCCAATCTACAAATCACACATACACATATTTTAACGTTACTATTGTGCATGTGTGCATGTACAAAATGTATTCCTTTTTCTGACTATAGCTTTGCAGACATTTTGCATAATAATTTGCTAAGTTTATTCGGTCTGTTACCGAATTTGATTTGCATAAACAAATTTACAATGTGAGTCTCGCACTCAAATAAGTTTAGAATAACAAAGTGAAGCTGAAAACTGTATTTACGTTCACACATACATATGTCTGCGTGTGTATGTGCATGGGTTTTTGCAATGATGCGCTTGATTAAACATAATTGAAATTAGGGATATTTGTGCGTCTTAGAATATTGTATTAAAATACTTGATATATTTTTTGGGCATATTCAATTCTAATTGAAAACGAATTAGAATTAGATGAAAGTGAATTCCAATAAGGCGTTGAATTGGCAAATTCCAGCTGCTAGACTGGTGCGGACAGTTTGAATGGCTGGGTGCATTGAGTGAGACGGGGTATATTAGTTGTACACAATGTTGGTCTTTATGTTAGTGCTTCTGTTGAACACTAATATTGTGTGAAACATATATGTATATTGCATATTGTGGAAACATAATGTGAATTTGAATAAATCAGAAAGAAATGTATTGAGTGCTATGTTGAACAGTATAAATTGTAATAATTGTAGGGTATTTCATAGTGCAGTAACAAATGATGATTACTTTGTGCAAATGTCTTGCGATGGCTTGTCAGATCCGAAGATAAGCACAATGAACAGCAGACAATAAGAACAGTTAGTTTTCATGTGACTGGAAATGGCATGCATTCGTTGCAGTTGCACTCTAAATATAGAAGTTGCTTAGAGAAGACGCAGATATTAAGAGTGGTAAAGGGTGTGCTTAAGCAAAGATAGTGATTGAGTAGATATTGCGAGGGTTGCTTGAAAAGCTAGTGAATGTTATGATAAAAACAACAAAAATGATTTAAAAAATTAAAATCAATTTTGGTAACTTTTTACACTTTTGTGTCCCTGTAATTGTTTTAATAAACAAGAATTATTAGCAATGTGCTAGTTGCACATTTCATTAGAGCCGTCAGTATTTGAGTGTTAAATGCCTGTCTGGAATCGCTTTAAGGCTTGGCCAAAATGCGGCTCACGTTCGACCCGACAAATAGGCTCCGAAGTGTATCCTAATTTAAATTGAACACAAATGCAATGGAGCATTGACATTTCGGCAGGCAAACAGACTGACAATTGAGGCTATTTAGAGCAGGAGTAACACGTGCCAGCAAATCGAACATGAAGCTCAGATCAAATTACAATTTGATATGTATTTCGTTTTTGGGCTCTTGCGTTTGTTTTAGTTTTTATTTATTTGGAATCAATTAAGTTGAAATGCGCTCAGAGGCGTGTCAAATGAAATATTTACACAACTGTTTCGACTCGAGGGAATCGAAAGGCATTAAAATAGTTGAAACTGGGCGTTGTCCTGCAGCTGGGGGAGCTAGACTCACAGTTGGGGGTTGGCTAAACGGTCAACCCCCAAAAGCGAGCGCGCCAAGCCCTGCGTCTGGCTTTTACTTTGTTCATTTGCGTGACTCTACTTTGGGAGCTGCTCCATTTGGGCTTGTCTGCTGTCTGCTGTCTGCTGTCTACATAAGTTGGCCTTAAGCTCCAGTGCTACGATTAAGGACACATATTTATAGCTGGCCAAGCCAAGAGCTTTGGCTAACGAAGACCTTAAGCTACTGTGAATATGATGATTCCTTTGTGAAAAACTGCAACAATCAGTAAATCGCCCGCAAAGCTTTCAATGATGATGTAAATGATATTGAGGGCCTATTTGCAAATCCATTGTCGAAATCCCTCTCGAAGGACATTCAAAAACAATTTCAAGCTAATTTATGTAGCTCAAAAAGCCTCAAGTGCGGCAAGCGAAAATTGTCTTTTAACCTACGCCCAAGTCATGAATATTCAGCTTCAGCAACTTTTTGTCCTTGCGGGATGTTTTCCTCATTGTCGACGGAGCTCACAAGCCAAAAAAGGATACAGAGCAAACAAGTAAATCCTGCCGAGCTGCACAAAAAGATATCAAGCACAAAAGTATAAGGATACCCGTCTAATGAGTCCCACATGAATGCTGTGCAAATGGCTTTTTGGTCGGACGCCTACAAATAAACTTGTTCCATCTTTACCTTAAATTTAGAGCAGCAAAAAATGGTTGTCGAAAACAGCAAAAAGAATGCTTGAAACATGATAGATTAATAACAGAAAATATGCATAAAATGGGTTAAATATATACATAAATACGAAATGCTTTTGTTAGATTTTGACATCGAGATATTCTCTTTCATCTTAAAGATATTGAGAGTGAAACTGATATAAAATTGAATTCAAATTTCAGATTGTTTATTAAGTTACTAATAATTATGACAATTATTAAATAACACTATTTCATTAAATAATTAAATTTAATAAATTTTATTATATAATTATTTAATAAACTTATTATTATTTATTTGATAAACTTAATTCATTTATTAAAATAAATTTACTAATTTTAGCTAGGTTAAAAACTGATTTATATCATATCAAATTTTTAATTAATAATACAGCAAAGATTATTTCAATTCTCAATTAAATTTAAAAATTATTAAATAATTCTAATATATATTAAAAATTTCAGATGTTAAATTTATAAGTGTTGCTAGTCCCTAAAATTCTTGATCCCACCCCAAAGTTCTAATTTCTCTTATTTTAAATTAATTCTAGATTTGATTGAGCTAAAAGATTTTTCTGACAACCCTCGAATATTAGGCGTGTGCTAAGTGTCAATGATATCAGGTGCGTTAGGCTCTCAATGAATATAATTCAATTATAATTTTTATAGACTTGCAATCAATCAAATTTTTCTACGAAATGCGCACTCAGAAAACATTTAAGCAAAATTGGGATTTTTGCAAGAAAAATGCAAATGTAAAAAGTGCCTTAAAAACTGAAAAAGAGATTTTTCTGTTTTTACACTTTTATAGACAGCTAAAGCAGCTTTATGCCTGTGGCAGTCATAAATTTAACGTCTGAGGGAAATCAGAAAGTTGCGAAAGCCTTGGGAAAACCCTGCGCGCTATAAGAAAAGTTATTGTTATTTGTCTGTCGGCCAGGACAACCCTTTCTTAATAGGGTATGCAGGGTATAGCAATAAATTGTCATATGATTGTTAGCTGTGTTTTTGATGATGACGATGACGACGATGACGATGACGCTGATTAAGGCTTTTTATGGAATTCAAAAATATATATGCAAGATTGATGGGCTTCTTCTGAAGGTTATTCCACTTTTTGTTCTGCTGCTCATGTTTGCCTGCAAAGATGTTGGGCAAATAGCAGAGTGTATTGAGTAAACAGCAGATAAGTTAGCACTGGGTTGTGATTCAGATGCTGCTGCTGCTAATATAAATGGTGCATCAGCATTTTGGCAATGGCACAGTATTCCAATTGTTATCAAGATGTCTCGGCTGCTCATACAACTCGGCTGCTCTTTGCTGCTGGTGGCTGCAATCGCTGGGCTGCCAGAGGAGACTTTCACGACGGTTGATTCCTTTGAGTTTCCCTCTGACTACACTCTGTCTGAGCTCGACGAGCCGAACGCTCAGGAGACAGATTTGATGATGGCGCAAAAAGTCAATTGGTTGCCCATTGACGAGCATCTGAGTAGGCAGGTGAGAGAGGTGCAAGAGCCGGAGCAAGTGGCGCCAACGAAAGCGGAAGAAGTCAAGGCAGGCAGCGAATGCCCAATTGATGCCGAACGTGGCTTGACTGCACTCATACGCAATGCTCGTCCTTTGTTGCCAGCGGATCGCTTGCGCAATATATTGGCCAATGCGCGGGAGGATCCCGAGGTGCGTGCCTTGGTCATGTTGCTGCGCAGCGAGCAGTTCAAGGAACGGGTGATGCGTCTAAGCCAAATCAAGGAGAAAATCGTCCAAAAAGATTTCTTGTGCCGCACCTTGAAGCTCAACCATGCCTACTACGTCGAGTACTTGCGGATGCTTTTCAATGCTCAGTTGTCGGAGACGGCCAGCAGCCCGCTGCCCAATCGCCGCAAGGGCATACGTGGATTGCTGATGGATTTGCGTGACGCACTGCCACGTGCTGAGCTCCGGGATCTCTACAGACGACAATTGGCCACGGACAAGGAACTCGCCGCAGCTGTACGTCAAATACGCAGCACTGAGTTTCGTCGCATTCTCATCAACTTGCGCGCTCTGTCTGAGTATAGGGCGTTGCGGGACGAACTGCTCAAGGTGGGCGTGCCTCTGCAACAAATACTCAGTCTCATAAGCAATGCACTGGGCTGGCCGAGTCTAGATTTGGGCAGCGAACTAGATTTTGTCATTGCTTAAAACTATTCACACTGGGAACGCCTTTCACAGTTTTCAATATATTTTATATATATATATTTATATATATATATATATATATATATATATATATATATATATATATATATATATATATATATATATATATATTTAATATATTAGTATTATCTACTTTCTATCCAATTCTCATTTTCCCTGATTTTTTTGTTGGCTTGGTTATATAAACATATTTTTTCTTGAAATCTATTAGAAATAAATTTTTGCTTTTCACGAAATATAAATTTAGAGAATTTTCTTACCTTGCAGTTTTTTTTAATAATGTGTAATAAAAACAGTTTAAAATTGATGTTCATTTTAATTTCCATACATTTTTGATTAGAGTCATCTATATATATATTATAATGTAATTAAAATAATATATTAATTCATATATAAATATATTTCTATCCATATTTCATATGCATCAATTGGAATATTTACTAATATATTTTTGTATGTTATAACTTAATAATACGTTTTTTAATCCGCGCATCTCCTTAGTTTTCAGGCGTTTTTTTAAAACAGTCTTTATATTTCGTTACAGCTTCTTTTTCCTTTGTCTTTTGCCCTCACTTGATATCATTTTCGATTCCTGTGGCTTTTCTTTTGTTGGCGATTTGTCACTGTCTGCCGTGTTTTTTAATTATTTTGGCTGCAGGTTTTCACATTTTCAATTATGTATTTTATACTCTGAGCATTGAGTATGCTTGACCAGCAAGTACCCTGCCTTTGAGTTTTATGAGCTGAAAGCTATGTCTTATGAAATTTTTATTATATGCTAAGTCCAATTAACTCCCTAATCTTAATTTTTTTATTTAAAATGTTTTGGTAATGTAAAAAATGAAAAATTGCAAAATAAATAAAAATAAAATAGCTTACAATTAAATTAAATACTATTAATTTTATATAAAGAAAATTATCAAATTATATTATAAAGTATAAAAATGTACATTTTTAAAATTATAATAACTGAAACAGTTCTCAGGTTGATAAACAGCTGCTTCTGATGCTCTATAAAAATCGTTTTTATTTTTTTAATTTTCGATTGCTGCTAATACCTTTTCTTCTTACCTAGTTTCGCGTGAAGAGTGTTTAAAAATAGTTGAGATTTTGTATATTTTCGTTGTGGTCCAGACTGGGGAACTGACATGTTTACAGTTGAAAGCAGTGGCAGTGGCAGTGGCAGACGCTGCAGCCGCAACCACTTCAAATTCGTTCAGGGTCAAAATCATTAGAGCAGACAGTTTTCCAGTTGCTGTTGCTGTTGTCGCCGCATGCTGTGTCTTGCCACGCGGCATAAACAAAAAAAATATATATATATAATAAAACAAATAGATGCTGCCGCCACACATGTTGCTTGTCGTCTACGTTGTCGTCGCTGCTTCAAAAGAGTTCATCAGCTGTGAGGCTGTCAGCGCGAGCATCTAATCGAGCCAACAGTTGCCATAAACAAATTACAAACAGATCAGCAGCCAAGTGCCTAAAAATAGTCCCTAAATGTACATAGAATGGGGGCAAACGATGCGCCGCTTGGCATATACGGAAATACAATGGAAAAAAAAAAACAATTTATTAAAGTCGCCAACGCAGCGAGCAAGCGACGAACGTGTCAAAATAAACAAACATTGTGCAAAGCAACAACAAATAGACAAACAAACAAATCGCAGAAACACGCAGATACTCGTGGCAGCATGATCGATAAGGTCGAAAGTTCTAAACAGACTTCATATTACAGACAGTAAATACAATAGCTCAAGTGTTAACCATAGAGTTCCCAAGTTAGGAAACTTGAGTTACCAAAGACTTTACGTGTTGCTTTGCTGATGGGTCTGTATCGATATGGGCCTATGTAATGCTTATTGTATGTAAAATATGTAAAAAAATATTAAAGAATTATCAGCTATATGTGGGTGCTATGGCATCCACTGATAATGAGAGTTTGGCATATGATGAGGCTATGAAAATGTATGTTCCCGGTAGACGGAGGCTTGGAAGAATTTATATATGTATATATATAGTATATATATTCTCGAGCTGGTCAATTTAGCCAGGCGCTCATAGTGACAGCTCTGGTTCCAGGGTATAAAGTTTTCTTCCTTGTCTGAATGACAACTTTGGGTATTTCCTAGTCAGGCACTTCTGACAGCAGCATATTCCCCTTTATTTATTATATTTTATTTATTATGCCAACTGCGGCTTATACGTATACACGTATATATATATATATAGTAATTGGATCTATGGGAATATTTATCTTTTGTTGAATTTGCATTTCGAAAGAATAAACAATATTTTGGGCAGATAAACGCTACTCGAATAATATGATTAATTGTTTATGCAACAGTAACTAGTCTGCCAAATATCTGAATAATATTTGTTTTGATACCCATGCACGATGTGTGCAAGAGTATATTAGTTTTGTGCTCGTCATATTAAAACGTAGTAAATCAAATATTTATCAAGATATAAACTCGCTTTAAATAGAGGACATATATAAGAGATTGTATATTTAAGATATATATATTATAAGTCCCTTTCAAAACTAACTAATTTATATCAAATAATAATATAATAGTTAGAAACATAAAAAGTATAGTAAACACATATACATTTATTATTAATATTAGTATCAATTTAGCTGCACCACTTGGACACGCTATTTAAGCCACTTTGCTTTGCCAATTCCAATCAATTTGTTGCAAATGTTTTCGCTATGGCATTTGAATGCTGGCATATAGGGAAAGGTTCGTTCCGGCATTCAAACACAATTACGCAAATGTCAGTCCGTTCACCCCTTGCACATTAAGTAATGCAATAGCCAGTGCGCCCCCGACCCGCCCTGCGCATTGTGAATCTTGAAGAAACTTCTGCTTTGAGTTAAGGTGGAGGCGGAGCGCAAACAGCTGGCACGTTTCAACGGCTGCACCTTGACTTGAACTGTGGCTGCCGCCGTCTGCTTCAACTCCGACTGCAGCTCCACTTTCAACTCTAGCTGCTTCCGCCTGGCTAGCAGTCAGTCATATGAAACGCTGAAGCGTTGGAGTTGGCGTTCGACTAAATTTCCCTTGGCTCCAGCCAAACTGCAATTGCAATTGCATTGAAGTTGTAGGGCAGAGCAGAGTAGAGTCGAGTAGAGAAGAGGCTAGCCATTATGTTTGGCCACGCTTGGCCACGTTTTTCTTTGCGCTGCTACAGTTCTTACCCACGCTGTCTGCTGGGCGATTGGGGGCTTTGGGGGCTGGTTGGCCTGTCAAATGTCTTCCCTCGTGGCCAAGGCCATTGAACTGAACCGCAGAGTTACTCCACATGAATGTACAGAATCCACGCAATATCCACGCCTCGCATACATTTAGCTTCGTTAGTTTTTTGAGGCCAAGAACTCGCCGCGTTTTGGCCATGAATAAACCGCTTTTGACGTCATCAGAAATGATTAGACAAACATAACAGAAGCTGCCACGCCAACGGAAGCCATTAGAATGGACTGCGCACCTGGAGCTCGATAGAGGGCGGCGGAGCAGCTTCTGGGCCTAACATTCCAAGCAATTAATAATAATTTCCGCTGCTCAGCACAACAGCACAAAACAAAATACGAGCCAAGTTTACAAAAAGAAAAAAAAAAGAAAAGCTTCAGCAGTTGTTGTTGCTGCTGTTGTAGTGTTTAGAATTCATGACTCCATTTGGCGGATGCTGAAACGGCACTGACAACAAAAAGAACTGACAGCCACTGCATAGGAGTTTTTTAGAATTTTTCTTCGACTTGTAGTTGCCAACAAATCATAGAGTATATGCAGTCATTTGGAATAAGTTCATAAGCAAAGTGTTGGGCTGAAACACTAGAATATATTTTCAAATAATTTTCATATAATAATGAAAAAAAATTATAATAATAAAAAAATGTAATAACTTTATAAATAATATTTTCATTTGTATTTCCAAGCTAAAAAAAATTAAAAAATTTTAGATATACAAAATTTTAAAAATATTTTAAAAAATTTCAAAATATGATTAAGTAGCCATTGAAAATGGGAAATCAGAGTATAATGTTGTGTAGTTTGTAGTTTTGTTTATTCACAATTGACATAAATGAAAATTATAATAGGTTGATAGGCTGAGATTCGAAGAAAAGTAGAGAGTTTTTCTCTAAATCTTCATATTATTTACCATTGAAGAGAACAGAGTTAGAGTTAATACCCTTTATATATTACGAGAAAAATAAATAACTAGAAAATTAATCAATATATTCATGAAAAAGTCTCAAATATTATTAAGTTAATGGTATTGCTACTGATGTTGCTTATTGAAACGCTTGAAGAGTATTTTTGAAACAGTTCAAAGATTGGGAATTTGTTGTATTGATCTTAAGATTTGTATACTACTATGAAGATATGCTATTAAGAACACACTTCATATGCTCCGTTTATATTGAACAATATCTAAACCATTCATTTGATGGCTCTGCAATATTTATCAATTATAACTTGCTGAAGAGCAGCTTATAAAACTCTTCTCTAATTAATATCAATTTCATTAGTTTGTTGAAACAAGCAAAAAGTTAAAAGCTTAACATAAGACATATAAGACTTAATTTGTTTTTAAAGTTTTTCTATATTTTTTATACTTTTTGTATAAGTTTAAAGTTCAAACATTGAACTCTATAAAAAGGAGAGAAATTCCTAAAGCCAAGCTCACATATTTTGCTGCACAATAGCTATAATTATTTAATATTATAGGCATACTTGTTGCTTCTTCTGCTTCTGCTTCTGCTTCGTCTGCTCTGTGAATCGCTGACAAAACCCCATATTAACTACTTAAGACTGGGCGGTACGCCGCGCAGTTCACGCCTAATGAAACGCACCACAAAATGCTCAGTGAACCAAAAGCAAAAGCGAAACCACAAATCAAATGAAAATTCCAAAAATGTTAAGTTTTAATACCCTAAGCTCGATGCCCCCCATTAATCTACGCGCGCCTATCCAGAAGCG